CTGGAGCACTCGAGGACCACCCTTGCTGATGGGTATTTGGAATTCAGCACTGGGCTGGAGCACTCGAGGACCACCCTTGCTGATAGGCATGGGGAATTCAGCACTGGCCTTGTAGGTTGAGTACTGTGGTGAAATCTTGGGCAGCGGGTCCTCGAGGACCACTATGGCCACTTCTCCGTCTGCATACTTCTGAGCCAGTTCCTCTGGGCTGTTGTAGAACTTGCCATTATACCAGACCTGCTCCACTCTCCAGTCCTGGGCATCTGTGCTCCCGTGATCCACAAGGAGCTCCAGACCCGTGGGCTGCAGGAAGTAGCCATTCACCAAGCGTTGCAAGAGAAACCAGCTCAAGCGCTTTCTGAAGGTCATAGCTCGAGGGGCAACATTGGTGAAGGTCAGACAGCCGCCATTGCAGTCTTGCAGCGTGAAGCCAGTGATATCAAAGAAAAAGTCTTGTAAGGGCTCGGTGGCTGTCTTCAGAGTATGGAAGAGGAGGACAGACTCTACTTTGGACATGGGTCTAGATGCCCATGACAGCTCTTGGCCTCCCTTGCGGCTCAGTTTTCTCATGTACATGGGCTGCTCAACTGGCCCCACAGCATACTCAGTGACATTGGGATACTCCTGGGCACCAAAGTAGATGAGGACACGGGCTTCCCGTACAGGTGGCATGGCTCTGTTATCTAGGAAATCCAGTACCTCATACTTCTTGGGCTTCAGCATCTCAATGAGAAACACAGAGTTCTTGGCCAACGTCAGTTCCTTGAATGACTGCAGCTCCAGCTCTCTCCTGTTCACCAGGAAGTTGTGTACACACTCCAGCTCTTGAGGACTCAAGTCCCATAACGCCTGGGTCTTGGCATTCAGGGCCCATCTGGAGTGCCTTGCCACGGACACCTGTACCACCAAGATGGTAGTCATCCAGCCCAGAGCCAAGCTCCTTCCTACCAGGTTCATGGCTCTGAAACAGCAGAGGAGAGAGTGCTTAGGTGTTTCCCACACAAAGCTAGAGCACTCAGAGCACTCAGTCCTTACGTGAATTCCTTCCCTTTATCCAGATGAAGCCAGAGCTGTTCTCAGTGCTGTCCAGGCCTCTCGTTGTGCCATGTAGCTGTTTCCCCCCCTCATTTTCAAGTCTCTTATACTCTCTCTTATCTAGACAATGCCCATGTGTTTCTCTGTTTTTCAGTGTTATCTCTGTGGGGTTGCATTTATCAGCTAGGGACAGGGTGAGCCACAGCAACAGAGTCTTGGTCCTCACTGGCTACAAAGTACTTCTATCCTGGAAGGGCACCAGATTGTGCTGACAGCAAAACTCCCTTTTTAAGGCAAGTATTTATCAAGATGCATTTTGAAATTCAGTGTGGATGTTCAACGTGCAGGCTCTGGGCTCTAGTTGCCTGGGATCAAGTCCTGGGAAATCACAACACTAAGAACTACTGTGTGACCTTGCCCATTTTGTTAAATTCTCTGGGCGTCCACTGTCTTCAGCTGTGAAATGGAAAAGGTAGCAGTAGCATGCATGCCCCTAAGGCTGTGGAGAGAAAGAAGCTGACAGGGAATGGAAATGTGTGGAACCATGCCGGCCTTCTGGAACACACAGCATGTTGGCCATGCTTCTCTTTAAAGTGAACCCTGATGATAGTGTGGACCTCGGCGCATTGGAGGTTCGGAGCCCTGCAGACTGGCTGGGCTGGGTCTAGGCTGTGAAGCAAGGATAGGGAGAGTTCTGTTCTGCTCAGCCTTCTCTCTTCTCATAGCGGGGTAGTCAAGGCTTTTTGAGCACTCCCAGGTCATCCCAAGTAGTAAGGCAGGATACACCTTCCTCTCTTTCCATGGGGGAAGGCATGGCCAGAGTTTTTACTGTTCAACGAGGTCCCCCAAACCCCAGGAATCTACTGGGTGTTTGCAGAGTGAAGGATGTCTCGTCATGCTGGCTGTCGTGCTGTTCCTTGTGCTTGTGGTTGAGGTGGGCTGTTTTGTCAAGTTGTGTGCAGAGTTCATACGGCATGGGACCTTTGTCTCTTGTGTCCATGCTGTTAACTGTTACCAGCCCCGGTTTTTCCAGATCCTAACCTGATCTGGATGCTGCTGAGCCCCTGCAGGGAGCTCTTTCCTGTATACCCATCTACACGGAAGTGACCTCACACCTGTCCTTGACCCCACAGGGCTTGTTCTGATCACGCCATCCCTCTCAATGGTTCCTCTGGGTCTCTGGCTGTACTTCTCCCTCCTGCAGGTTTGGTGAAGTCGAGAGGCCTGGCCTATGGCTTGGTCCTCAGGGTGGATGGAGGATTCTGAGAGATCCTTGCTGACAGGTTAACCACCTTTAGTTTCTTTGATTGTCAGAAATCTGGAGAAAACTCTCTCTCCTGTGGAGACAGAGGCACAGAAAGGGGCTCAGAGTTCCATGTTGCTGTGGGTTCTCCACCAACATGGGGCACATGGGTGGGGACCTGGGTGGATTTCACCTAAAAATGGCTTGGAGACTAGGAATTCAGCCAAGGGAAGTATGGGTACTCACCAGGGACGTGGACCACAGGAACTGGGCATCAAGGATGCTTTCTGTTTGGAAAGGTCTTGTATTTTATGCACCTCTCATAAGTCTCAGGAACAGCCTGTGTGATCACAAGGTGCCCGGTTTTCCTGGGGTTTCTTCCTTCCAGGTAAGCTTTCTCACTTAGTTCTCTGCCAAATTTATGCCCTATCTCCTTTCAAAGTTAGCTAAAATCCTACCCCATCAAGGAACTTTCTGCATCGACTTTGGACATAACTCTGTCCATGTCCCACTCCCTGCCCCTCGACACTTAGGTATTTTGCCTGTAGAGAATGAGCCCTGACTGCGCCAGTGAAAGGTGTGTGCTGCACCTGCTCCATCACCTGTGAGCTGCTGCGCTGCTGGGAGCCTCGGCATTCTGTCCTTCTGTCTGTCTGCTGGGAGCCTCGGCATTCTGTCCTTCTGTCTGTCTGCTGGGAGCCTCGGCATTCCGTCCTTGTGTCTGCTGGCCCTGGTGATCATTGTCAAGGCTGTGGTCTGGGGCTCCTTTGCACTCTCCTAGCCTCCTACCTATGGGATACTATGATTGTTTGACCTCATGGACATGGTCCACCCCGAGGACTTCTCTCTGTTGCTCTGGTGCAGGGAACCCACATTACCTTGTGCTTTCATGGCTTAGTCTGACAGGAGTGGATGAGACAAGAGGCTCGTGGGTGAACTCAGACCCGGGGGGGGGGGCTATGACCTGCATTGTGGGTCTACTGTCTGTCTCTGGATAAAATTCTTTTATTTAAAACTGTATTCCACCCCTTTATGTTGTATGTTTCTCTCTCTCTCTCTCTCTCTCTCTCTCTCTCTCTCTCTCTCTCTCTCTTTGTGTACATGTATGCATGTGTGAGTGCATATATGCACTGGTGCATTTGTACTTACATATGTGTCTGCAGAGGTCAGAGGACAATCTCATGTGTGATTCTCCAGAAGATCTTTTCTTTTTTTCTTCTTTCTTTCTTTCTTTCTTTCTTTCTTTCTTTCTTTCTTTCTTTCTTTCTTTCTTTCTTTCTTTCTTTCTTTCTTTCTTTCT